TTCTTTTAAGAGTTTTTTAAGTTTAGAACAATTATTTATTTTCCACAGGCCACCAAAACGGATCCCATCAACACCTTGGCTGCACCTAGAAATTCTGTCCATAAAAATTATGAACAGAATCGGTGACAAAGGGCAACCTTGGCTGAGTCCAACTCTCACCGGGAACAAGCCTGACTTACTGCCGGCGATGCGGACCAGGCTCTGACACCGGTCATACAGGGACCTAACAGCCCGTATCAAAGGACCCGGTACCCCATACTCCCAGAGTACCCCCCACAGGGTTCCCCAAGGGACGCGGTCAAACGCCCTCTCCAAGTCCACAAAGCACTTGTAGACCGGTTGGGCAAACTCCCACACACCCTCTAGGATCCTGCTGAGAGTGTAGAGCTGGTCCAGTGTTCCTAGACCAGGACGAAAACCGCAATGCTCCTCCTGAATCCGAGGTTCAACTATCCGATGGACCCTCCTCTCCAGAACCCCTGAATAGACCTTACCAGGGAGGCTTAAGAGTGTGAACCCCCTGTAGTTGGAACACACTCTACGGTCCTCCTTTTTGAATAGGGGGACCACCACCCCGGTCTGCCAATCCAGGGGAACTTCTCCCAATGTCCACGCAATATTGCAAAGTCACGTAAGCCAACACAACCCTACAACATCCAGAGCCTTAAGGAACTCCAGGCGAATCTCATCCACCCCGGGGCCCTGCCACCGAGGAGCTTTTTAACCACCTTGGTGACCTCAGCACCAGAGATTGGAGGGCCCGACCCAGAGTCCCCAGGCTCTGCTTCCTCAGTGGAAGACGTGCCGGTGGGATTGAGGAGGTCTTCAAAGTATTCTGCCCATCGACCCACGACATCCCGAGTTGAGGTCAGTAGCACACCACCCCTACTATAAACAGTGTTGGTGGTGTACCGCTTTCCCCCCATGAGACGCCGGATGGTGGACCAGAATCGCCTCGAAGTCGTGCAGAAGTCATTCTCCATGGCCTCTCCGAACTTCTCCCATGCCCGAGTTTTTGCCTCAGCGACCACCTGAGCTGCATGTCGCTTGGACTGCCGGTACCCATCAGCTGCTTCCAGGGTCCCACAGGCCAAAAAGGCCCGATAGGACTCCTTCTTCAGCCTGACAGCATCCCTCACCGCCGATGTCCACCACCGGGTTCGAGGGTTGCCACCGCGACAGGCACCGACAACCTTGCGGACGCAGCTCCAGTAAGCTGCCTCAACAATAGAGGCACGGAACATGGCCCACTTGGACTCAATGTCCCCCACCTCCCCCAGAACATGTTCAAAGTTCTCCCGGAGGTGGGAGTTAAAGCTCCGTCTCACAGGAGACTCTGCCAGACATTCCCAGCAAACCCTCACAATACATTTGGGCCTGCCAGGTCTGACTGGCATCCTCCCCCACCATCGGAGCCAACTCAACACCAGGAAGTGATCAGTGGACAGCTCCGCCCCTTTCTTCACCCGAGTGTCCAAGACATGTGGCTGCAGATCAGATGAAACGACGACAAGGTCAATCATCGAACTGTGGCCTAGGGTGTCCTGGTGCCAAGAGCACATATGGATACCCTTATGCTTGAACATGGTGTTCGTTATGGACAATCCATGACGAGCACAGAAGTCCAATAACAGAACACCACTTGGGTTCAGATCAGGGGGGCTGTTCCTCCCAACCACACCCCTCCAGGTCTCACTGTCATTGCCCATGTGAGCATTAAAGTCCCCCAGCAGAACAAGGGAGTCCCCAGGAGGTGAACTTTCCAGTACCCCCTCCAAGGACTCCAAAAAAGGGTGGATAATCTGAACTGCCGTTTGGTGCATAAGCACAAACGACAGTCAGAACCCGTCCCACCACACGTAGGCGGAGGTAGGCCACCCTCTCATTCACCTGGGTGAACTCCAACACACAGACACCAAGATGGGGGGCAATAAGTATGCTCACTCCTGCTCTGCGCCTCCCACCAGGGGCAACTCCAGAGTGGAAGTGTCCAACCCCTCTCAAGGAAACTGGTTCCAGAGCCATGCGTAGAGGTGAATCAGACTATTTCTAGCCGGAACCTCTCAACCTCACACAACAGCTCAGGCTCCTTTCCCCACCAGTGAGGTGACATACCACATCCCAATAGCCAGCTTCTGTAGCCAAGGATCAGACCGCCAGGGTCCCCGCCCTCGGCCACCACCAATCCCACAGGTGGTGAGCCCATGGGAAGGGGGACCCACGTCTCCTCTTCGGGCTGTGCCCGGCCGAGCTCCATGGGTAAAAGCCCGGCCACCAGGGGCTCGCCTGCGTGCCCCACCTCCAGGCCTGGCTCCAGAGTGGGGCCCCGGTGACCCACATCCGGGCAAGGGAATATCAAGTCCATTTCTTTTTCTCATCATAGGGGTGTTTGGGCTGCACTTTTTCTGGTCCCTCACCTAGGACCTGTCTGCCTTGGGTGACCCTACTAGGGGCGTGAAGCCCCCAACAGCAGAGCTCCTAGGATCATTGGGACACTCAAACCCCTCCACCACGGTAAGGTGGCAGCACAGGGAGGGGATAATAATTAATTCTGTATCTTGTTTTTCTCATTCAGCCTAGGCTGGGGGTCAGGTCTAATGCGAGCCCATACTTTTCTAAGTAAATAAAGACTGTTATTATTCACAACGGCGATCCTTGCGACCCGGAAGTACACGACGGATCGTGCTTCGGTAACAGATCGGGGAATATCGGTGCTTGAAACTGAGGAAAAGCGGAGTAACAGCTGCTACCACCGCTAGGGGGCAGCAGGATACCACTTCAGGGCCGCCAACCTTGCGTGGCAGACCAGTGTAGCATTAAATCCACATACACTATTGCTCATTAAAATATTCAAGGTTCTTTATTGTCACGAAATTGTGTACTCCAGTTCCCAGTTTTTTCATTCAACCTTTATTAAGACAGGTTACTCCCATTGAGCCTCGAGGATTCATTTACAAGAGACCTGATTACACCAAAAAATTACAAAGGTACACCCAAAAATAGCAAAAATATAAAGTATAAAAAGAAACAGTATACAAGGATCTAAGATATACGCTAAACACTAATGTAAAAATAATACAGTATATTAAAAGGTATATACAGCAGCCCGAACAATTGTCTGTAGTGAGCAGATGGGTATGAACGCAGAAGCTTAAAGGTAAGAAATCAACAGCATGAATAATCAGCAGTCACATATCACCAATTAAAGTGGAATTACAGTGATTTTTCTTTCTTTTTTTTTTACAGTGATTTTTCTGGTTAGGGATTCATGAGTCTAACAGATTCTGGGTAGAAGCTGTTCCTCAGTCTGGTGGTTCTACACTTAATGCTCCTCAACCTCCTTCCTGAGGGGAGCGGGGCAAAAAATGTGTGATGGGTGAGTGTGGTCCTTCATGATGCAGGTGGCTCTCTTCCTGCATCTGGAGGTGTAGATGTCTGTGCTGGTGGGAAGACTGAATCCAACAGACTTCTGTGCAGCTTTCACCACTCTCTTCAAAGCTTTTCTTTCTGCAGCTGTGCAGTCTCCAAGCCACACGTTGATGCTGGAGCACAGGATGCTCTCTACTGCACACCTGTAGAAGGAGGTGAGGACTGAGCTTCCTAGTCCAGCTCATCTCAGCCGCCTGACGAAGTAGAGTATCTGATGAGCTTTCTTGATCAGGCTGGTAGTGTTGTTGTCCCCGCTGAGTTTGTCGTTCAGGTGTACACCCAAGTACTTGTAGCTGGAGACCACTTTCACTGGGGGGGTTGCTCCTTCTGAAATCCACTATCATCTCCTTCGTCTTCTTCACATTGATGTGAAGGTTATTCTTCCTGCAACAGTTCTCCAAGTGTTCCACCTCCTGTCTGTAGCTGGACTCGTCATTGTTTGTGATACATCCCACCACCGCTGTATTATCTGCAAACTTTACAATATGACAGCCTGGATGGGTCGGTGCACAGTCATATGTGAGCAGAGTGAACAGGAGGGGGCTAAACACACAGCTCTGAGGGGTGCCAGTGCTGAGGGTTATGGAAGTTATGGATCCACACGGACTGTGATCTACTTGTCGTAAACACAAAATATTAGTTTAAATTTAAATAAATACACACTGCTTTTGGCACCATGATGGATCAGTTGGTAGAACGTTTGCCTCTCAGCACAAAGATCACTGGTTCAAATCCCAGCTGGGGATCTTATTATTTTATTTTTAACCTTTATTTTACCAGGAAATAAATTCATTGAGATTATTAATCAATGTCCTGGCCAATGTGCAAGTAAGCCATTATAATTACCTCAAATTAAAACTTTCTGGGTGAAGTTTGCATGTTCTCTTCATGCATGCGTGAATTTTCTTCGGGTAGAGCACTCCGGTTTCCTCTCACAGACCAAAAACATGTGCACGTTGATTGGTAACTAATTGTCAGGTGTGAGAAAGTGAATGTTTTTTGTCTTGTTTGTCTCTATGCGTCCCTGTGATGGACTGGAGACATGTCCGGGGTGTCCCCCACCTCTCGCACAGTGATGGCTGGATATGGGCACCAGTGACCCCCATGACCCGAAAAGGAAGAAGCGGGTAAAAATAATGGATGGATCTACTTCAAATGTTGGGTCAACTAAATAATAAATCAGCCACATTTCCAAAGTCAATTTTACTCTAAAAAGGTAAAGATTCACTCAGACATTTTTTTTATTTATGGCATTTATTTTACTTCTCTTCATTTTAACATTGCTAAAACACAAGAGTCAACATCAATGAAGCTATGAATAGAACATCCTTTAAAAACCAACGGAGCAAGATCATCTGAATAACTCAAGAGTTAAATAAGGTTAGGAAACTCAATAAATAAATATTTAGCTTACAATAAATATCCTAACAGGTAAACTGGGAACAAGGTAAATTAAATTTAGCTTACAATAAATATCTTAACAGGTAAACTGGAAACAAGGTAAATTAAATTTAGCTTACAATAAATATCTTAACAGGTAAACTGGGAACAAGGCAAATATTAAGTGTCTTCATTTAATTTGATCCATCACTCTTTGGCATCAGTAACTCCTCCACCTGAGATGGCAAAGGTGGCTTCATTCTCAGGCATATCAGGACTAGAGAAAATAAAGAGAAATAAACAAACAGTCAAACACTGAACTCTTCGGCTTCCAAATATTTTTACTGTTCAAATAAAAGTCTGTATGTGGCTCATATGTGAGTTAAGTTCAAGTCTTTGGGGTGGAAGTGACAAACTAGGCATTTATGTTTTTAATTTCAGTATCTTCTGTTTGTCTCGTTGCTCAACAATTTCACATAAAGTAAAAAGTGACACGCACCTGTCAAATATTTTAGCAATTCTCATCTCGCCACGCCCCTTCCTCAAGCTGATCCGTGTGGTGGAGGCGTGGGCAAGGATGTGCCCACCGATGGGTTTCTTGGGATCTGCTTGAAATCTAAAACAAAAATCATTAAAAAAACTCAAACTTTCAAACTAGTGGCCTACGATGACACACATTCATAATTTAAAGAAAGGCTGTTTGTGATTTCTTACGTCATTCCCGCCCCAGGATCAGCTGTCATTTGGTTGGTGACAAACACGGCTACATTGTACTCTAAAGAAAAACATCAATAAACACAATAATTATGCTGATTAGCTAAATTTGGCCAAAGGGATCACAATCCTGTAAACCCATGTATTATAATCAATGATCATTTACTGAATAGATAATAGAGCAAGAATAACTACTTCAATATATCAAATCTGATTTGTGATGTTTAGAGCAGGGGCCACCAACCTTTGTGTGACTGAGAGCTACGTCAGTGGAACCGAGTGACATGAAGGCTACTTGTTTGATACAAACACACATTTGCACGACTCACCTTTAATCAGTAATTTCCTGCGGGATCAATAAAGTTCTACCTTATCATAGTATTAATAATAATAAATTTACTACATACATGTGAATATATGACTGCGTGATCCAAGGACTCCTCACAATAATTATCAATAACGATTTGCCATGGCAGATATGATTATTATTGATAATTAGTGATTAGAAGTCAAGTTCTCAGTTTGAATCCCTTTTGAGGCTCTTCTGTGTCTCTAAAGTGTCCCTAGCTGTGACTGGGAGTGTGGACGGTTGTCTCTTTGTCTGTCCCCGTGTTGGACTGGAGGCCTGTCCAGGCTGTCCCAAAGGCAGCTGAGAGGCTCCAGCCCCCACCCCAACCCTGGCTAGGATTAACAAGGGGGGCATAATGGATCGTTTACCATTGCAGAAAACAGATATTTAAACATGAAACATTATTTAATTTAATCTCAGTCAGTAACATTTGAAATTCAGTGAATTTTGAATCCAGTATTTTTGTATTTTTAAATGAATCACGTAAACTTTAGTACTGATCCTCAGATCTGCAGCATTTTTAATTGATCATCACATATTTTACTCTTTTTAAAGAAATTATCTTTCACCTTATTCATCATTGCTTCTTTCAAAACCTCCCCATCTGAAAATGTCTCATGAATAAAGACTGCTGTTTGTTCAAAGACGCCTTTAAACCTGATGTTTATCTGACCGTCATGCAGGCCGTTAGCATTGAAGCTAAAGGGTTAGCTGGTTAAGTGTCAAGGTTCTTTATTGTCATTCGCGTCACACCTGGTACATGAGGTGGAACGAAATATGTGCTCATGGTCCCAGTTACACCCAACAATGGCAAAAATATAAAGTATAAAAAGACACAGCATACAAAGTATAAGGATCTAAGATATAAACTAAATCATATGTCAAACTCAACATCTGCTGTCTATCACGGTGCACTAAGATTCATAACTGGCTGTGATTATCGTACCCACCACTGCACCCTGTATTCACTGGTTAACTGGACATCATTAACTTCACACAGACTCTCTCTGGTACATTTTTATCTTTAAATCACTTCTTGGTCTGCTGCCTTCATACATCTCCTCCTACATGTCTCTGCATGAGTGCAGCTACAGCGTGCGCTCTCAGGACATTATTACCTGCAGTGTTCCCTCTGTGAGGACTGAACTTGGAAAAAGGGCCTTCTCCTACTCTGCTCCTGTTTCCTGGAACACTTTGTACAAAGATCTGAAGCTGTCAACTTTGACCTCTCTAAGGAAAGGCTTAATTTATAAACCGATCAATGCCGGAACACAAATAGCAGGTGGATCGGCTGGGAGGGGGGGGGGGGGGGGGTCCTGGGGAACGTGCAAGCTCACAAGAGAAGAACTGACAAGTTGTTTAATGACATATATTTTGTTTGCAAAGAATAGAGTTCTAACATTTATTAAACATTACTTCTGTATTTACACAAAAAAAAAAAACATCAAAATTGTGATTTGACAAACTCACAGATAAAACTAAAAAATGTTGTCAACGCGAAAGAGGAAAGAGGGGGCAGGTGTCCCTCTCGCTTTGAGTTTACTCTTTGTTGCATGCGTGCTGTGAGTGACAAGCGTCCAGTGCGTCATAAAAACAGCAGCGGAGGTGTCAAGAGTTATTTATTTATCGTCTCAGCAGCAGAGGGACCGACACGGTTCAAGCATGGCTCCACAAATGACAAGGCAGCCATATTTGTTCAAAACTTTATTATTAGTAAACTTGAGAGTTGACGGATCCAAGCAAACAGTTACCGAACGCACCCTGACAAAATAAGAGAGTTCCCAATCCCAGATCTTGTTCCGGCAAGATCCGGTTCAAATTAAGCCCCGCTCTAAGGGATTTTGAACAACTGTTAAGTTCAATGCAAAAATCAATGCAGACATGTTTCTGGTTTTAGTATTTTACCTCATTTCATAATGTAGCTTGATTTTTACTTTGTTTTATATCACAGGTCTCGCTTGTAAATGAGTCCTCGTGACTCATTGAGACTAACCTGTATAAATAAATATCCTGATGCATGCTCAATAATCCAGGTAGAAAAATCTAAAATAAAGATTGAATGAAAAAACAACAACCTTCTGGTTTCCACCTCTCCATACCTTCAGAGATCTTCTGCAACCTCGAAAGCATCTGGGCCAGTTTCTGCTGCCGCTCGGCCAACTCTCCACGACCGGAGAAGTCCACTCTAAACAGAGCCATGATGGAGTCGATGATCTAACAGGAAAGAGTACATGAGAAGGATGTCCAGCAGTCTTATCTAGTAATCCCAAATATAACTGGTAAGTACAAAAAAATAGAATATTCCACTTTGACTAAATTTACAAAGCAGAATACAAAACGAAGTCACAAAGATCTTTACAGCTTGAGCTGTTTACCAATAATTTAAACACTCCTCCTTCTTCATGGAACTTCGCTGCTACGAAGTCCAGCAGCTCCATCTGGTGTTCACCTGCAGAGACAGCACATGCTTTGTTTTCACAAACATTTGAACTGAGATGAAGCAAAGACATACAATCTCTACACACCACAATGCAAGACAATACAATAACTCTAATAATGCGGTCTTGTTCGGAGGAGCTGCAGTGTCTGTACGCACTGGTGTAGGCTCGGGCATAAAGCACATTGTCCAGCACAGCATCATGGTCCACATTAAACCTGTCAGCGATGTCTCTCAGCCTGTCTGGTCGACTGGAATCAGACGCGTCAAGAAAAATAGAAGACTATTACAACAAGATGGTAACACCTGCAACCAGTCATGAATACAGGGCAGACTGGTCTACGCATCAGCCAATCTCCGTACGACACACGATGATTTTCTGTCCCCACTGTAAGGATACAAGGTGTTCTCTGTGTCAATGAAGATGATCTTTCCACCTGAGTATCCATCCTCGCCTGGCAGCTGTGCAGTGACTAAACAAAACCAAGAGTCAGATTTATGGCGTGTATGTGATTCGGGCTAAATAGCATAAAAAGCTCCTTACTCACCACAAAGTGTGTGGGACAGCTGTGTTTTCCCTGTGCGGAACTCTGCAGAAACAATAACGGAGTATAATATATCATGTTCCACAAGAAAACATAAGAGAAAACAATACTGATGGATGCCTCCTCACCTCCAAAGGCCTCTGTAATAGCCATACTCTCTATTCCTCCACCCAACAGTTTGCTGCCACATACAGATAACAGAAATAAACAAATGCATCAGATTCATTTAAGGGACAGAGCAGATCTTTTGATGAGGAGAACTGTAGAAAGGTTGTAAACTACACCTCATCTGCTGTAGATAGCTTGGTGAATGACCTCAGCTTGAAAGTTTAATTCTGATGGATTGACGGCCATCAGCAGAGAACAGTGGATCGCCGCCATCTTAAACAACTACAATCTCAAAATTTGGTATAAAAGTTCATACACACACTATTCTACAGTTTTATATTAGTTTTTCCTGGTAGAAATTGTATGCCTGCAGGAAGTGCCTCAGCCTGCACATGCCATAGCTAGCTGCAGCTGCTGATTGTACTTGTAAATATTCATAGAACTCCATGTAAATAATCATGTAATGTAAAAGTGGCACCACTGTATGATCCGTTTGTTTTCTTTACCTGTTTGTTCCTGTTCGGTGTCACAAGGGGGCTGGTGCCAATCTCCAGCAGCCTCTGGGTGAGAGGGTACACTGGCAACAAGTTTATTATATATATAAAGGTTATATATATATATATATATATATATATATATATATATATATATAAAGGTTTATAGTATTATATTACTGATGGCAATAAAGTTTTGAAGCAGGATAATTTTTATAAGGCTTACCCAGACCGTCAGTTTATGAAAATTCATATACTTTTCTCCAAACTGAGTTCACTTAAAAAGACATCTACAAGAAATATTTTGATAACGTTTCCACAGAATCCCATGGTAAAAGATCTGAACTGCTGGTTTTATATTAGCATTATGTTGTAAAGCTTTACTCAAACTCCTGGCTCCCAGTTGTGATGTGGAACACCTGCTTTCTCTTGGCGCTGTACTCAAAGGCCGTCTGGAAACCAATATTCTGTAATGTGAAAATAAACATCTAATTCATTAAGCATAATAAACCATTCAGCACCATTTTTATGGACAAAGTGACAAAAGTTGAAGATATAAGTTTGTGCTTGACCAGCATTTTTCCAGCAGCTTCCTTGATTTTTTCCACTTTTGCCTCCGACAAGCCCTTGATGTTGCACAGAGCTTTGCGTGTAGTCATCTGGATCCCCTTCACGGTGCAAATCCCCACCGATTTCAGCTTTTTAATGTCCGCCATGTTCTGTCACACATGAGGATGGACAGATAAATGGTTAGTGTACAAATGATGTTACGTCATAAATGTTATGAAGCTGCTGTTTGCTCACAATCCCATGCTTCTGTAGGAGATCGATGTCTTGGAAGAAGGATTCCTGGTAGAGAAAAATAAGATTTGTTAAACGTGATGGATTAAGAATTCATTTTTAACCTGAGAGCAGCCACAGCTGCATTATAGTGTTATTAATATTGAGCAGATTTTTTTTTTCAAAAAGGCTAATGAAAGTATATCGTACTTCATCATCTTGAAAGCTTGCTTCATCTTCAACAACCTGATCCTCAACAACTTTCATTTTCAGTCCTGATCAGTTAAACAGGAAATAACTACTTAGCCCAAAAAACTTGAGTCCAAACCATCAAAAGCTCACAAAATACAGGCTAGGATGCAAAATAAATACTTTTTAACTTAGTTTGTAACCTCAAAATGACAATATATATTTTTTTCTAAATGTACAATTTATTCTTTTTTCCCCTTCTTTAAATAACTAGCGTTAGCCTAGCGTTAGCAGCGTCACTGGCGGGAATCTCTGAAGTCAGACTCATTCAGGAACCACCGGAAACTCTGCTTTCACCGCTTGAACGGACACACTTATCATTTATTAAAAAATATATATATTTCAAGTGTTGCTTTTTTGCCTCTAAAACAATCTTACAACTTCATTAAAATTAACATTGCTATCCAGGTGTTTAGTGGATTTAAATAAAGAAGAAAACAACAATTAGTCTTGTCTATTGAGTAATGTTCCAATTTTATCCCAAGAACTGTAAACGCCTCATGAATGCAACTTTCTTCAAAGAGCATACCGACTATTGTTGTATTTACAGCTTTTATACTGTTGGCATCCAAGAATTACGGCTAAAGTTTTATTTTAAACAATTTATAGTGATTTCTTAGAACAACTGGATGTAATACAAAACAATAAAAATTCACAAAGATCGTATTGTTCTTTAGAACTGAAGGGGTCAGTAAAAAAAGCACAGGTGCAGTGGTGGTTTTAGCCTTTTTGGGGGGTGCTCAAGCACCTCTAAATTTTAACTCAGTACCTTTAAAGTAAGGGCAGTTCTGTTGATTGCATTTATGATTCAATGCAACAAAATAAATGTAAAAGGTAACAGATCATTGAAATACTTGGTTTATTTACCTGACTTCAATTGCTGTGTCCAACCCGAGCTGCTGTCTTTAATTAACTGTGCCCTCCTGAGCAGTTTAGTTGAATAGTCCTGCTTCAGAGGGTGGAATACAGTTTATTCCATTTCCAAAACCTAAACAGTCTGGAAAAATGTAAAAGACAGATAAATCCCTGCGGCCAACCTCATGTGTAATGTAGAGCGCTACACTATAATCTTAGTCTGCATTGCACACTGCTAGCTTAGCGCTATTTCTTGTTGTGCTGAGCGCTCTAAAATAGTTATTGAATCAATTATGTAGGTAAACATAGATGTTTAAAAAACAGTTAAAAATACACCAGAATGCAGGAAACGGCATCTACTTTATTCAAAATTTTCCGTGGGAGGACCTCAGACCCTCACCAGTGTGTCCCCCCACGTTATGAATGCTTCTGACCTCAATGGCCACCACAGAGACTCAATGGGAGTAACCTGTATAAATAAAGTTTGAATGAATTGTTCAAGCCAAGAGCCATTGTCAGCACTGGGGGGCTAAGCACCCCTAAAGGTCAGATTCTAGAATCGCCCCTGCACAGGTGTCATTGATTAGCATTCACAATTAATCTGTATATTTTACATCTCATGCAAAATATTACATCAATTTTTTTACTGTTTGTAAAAACCAAGTTGTTTGTTATTAACTGATAGTTTAGTCTTTCTGGGGAAAACCTGTATATATTTTTATTCCCGCTTAAACAGATAACATCAAATAAGCCATTTCAAAATTAAACTATATTTATACTACCGGTATTTTACAACTTATCTTACACTTATTTTTTAAAACAATGCATCATTGGTCGCCAACCAAATATGCTTTTTAAATAAAATAAGCCACAATCATCCTAGAAATAAACTTGTCACTTTTGAGTATGGTGATTTAATTTCTCCTGTAATGTCAAACAAGAAACAGAACCGTGTGTTTTGAGTGTAAAAGAATGTACTGTTCCATAAACGACCACAGAAAAAACAAAATGATCCAAAATGATGCATTTCACAGACTATTAAAGAGCAGAAAACATCTGGTTTGGCTGCATCGTGTTTATAGCAGAAAAACAAAACGACGATGGCAAGTATTAAAGGAGAGACACTGACTGTGCACACACACACACTACTGTGAATTGTGACGTATAAAGTGACAAAACGCACGTCACAATTCTTTACAGCTGTCATTTGTAACTACCATCAGTTTTTCATACTTGTATAATCAGTAAGTACATGAAGACGGACATTCTGCCAAAACATGAGCCAATCCTTGGACACTAAAACAATCTTCTGACCTCTTCCTCATGTATGCACTGACATTTGATATCTCTATAACTAACTGTATTATATATGCTGAAATAAGTATTTTATGATTAAATAAAAAAACAACAGTAAAAAGAGTGCTCCAGGAGACAAGTCTCTGTGTGATGTTGGGAATAAGAAAAAAGGGCGAGTGCAGAGTCAACCTGCTTCTCTGAGCAAATGGACATGGTGGAGGGAGCCTAACGCAGTTTTTGCCATTGTTAAAATGAAAACTGCCTTTCTGCACACTTCTGCGTCGTCTCCTCGTCTCTCCTGGTGGAAGGCCCAGCTGTGTGTGGCTGCAGCAGATCTCAGGATCAGGTCGCCCCCTGCAGCTCTTCACATCTTGCCAGGAGCAGGAGGCATCATGCCCGACATCCCACCAGAGACAGCAGTGTTTGGTCCCAGCAGGATCTGAAAGTGGGGAATAAAAATAGATTCATTATTCTTATTATTGACATTTGTACATCTTATTTTAATTTTGGGACAAACTTTACCTTTTCCCCTTCCACAAAACTTAAAAAAGTTTAGTTGTAAAGAAGAGTGACCCAACATTACTGACCTGTCTCTGCTGCTGTAGCTGCTGCTGCTCCAGCTGTAGCCTCTCCGTCTCAAACACTACAGGAAGAACCAGTATCATGAAGGAGGTCGTGCCCACCCAGAGCGCAGAGCGAGAAAAGCTGAAACAAAGTGAAGAACTGGATTAGCTTCATTTATGGATGATGTTATTTACTACTGGCACCCATGACACAGAGGTGTTGTAGGAAAATATGGAGTAAATTATTGACTTTGATCTCTCTGGTGACACAGAACTTCCTAAACGATCAGAACATTTTTACTACAACTAAGTTACAGATATGTTACTCACTAAACGCAAGATTTTAGTACAACTTCGATATTAGCGTCCAAAAAACTGCCTCAGCAAATCCAAGTCCAGATTAGATTTTTGCGCTCGCTAAGGTTCAGAGAAATGTGAAACGTCCCGTGTTCTGTGCACTTATTCAAAACGTCCTAAGGTGTAAACTTAGGTGTTCATCGTGCCTGCTTATAATCACAAAAACAACAACAATAAAATTATGACCAACAGAACTTAGATGAAGGCATTCTGTTTTATTCCAGACATCATTCAATGCCCAATAAAAAAAAAAACGTATTTTATGTTGGAAAGTTTTATTAGGGATGCACGATATTATCGGCATGGTATCGGCGGATATTAGCGATATTAGCGATAAAGTTAAATATTGGACATCGACCATTCCATTAAAAAATTAACCGATATAAAAGGCTTCTGTTTTAAGTTAAATTTTAATTTAAGAAATTGTCAAGCATATTTATTAATGCACTACTACTTACACGCTTTTCACCTGTCGCTTGTGAACAGGTTTTCTTGATAAATTTGACATTAAACATAATCCAAGTTGAAGAGTTACATCATTTTCAGCCCCTTTTTTGCATCTGCATTTAGCAGCAGGCCAAACTGATAAATATGCAAATTAATATAGTATTTTAATTCCACAGCAGAGAAAGTTATGTAGTCTCTGTAAGTAGGTCTAGGGGAAAAATATCGGTATTGGTATCGATTATCGGCCAAATAAGTTTTAACATATCGACATATTGGATATCGGCCAAAAATCTAATATCATACATCCCTAGTTTTCATGACTATTTGATGAATCAGTTCTCAACAAGCTTTTACTGCGGTTTTCATGTATTTGTATGTTTTTGAGATTGTCAATAATTTCTGTGGCCTAAAAACAAATTACTCTCTGAAACGTAAAACCTCTACTGAGGTGCCAACCCAAAGCTAAATGTGTTGACTTTGTTTTGAAATCAGAGTTAGTCGCAAACATGACTTTTAAATAAAATTATGAGAAAGATTAGGCACACTCAAGTTAACTGTAATTAATTCATTATTCAGCTGAAACATAACGAGGGAATCATTTTAGAACCAATTCAAGTTCAAAAGTTTTGGTCAACAAAATACTGATTACCAGTTATTGTCTTTGTTTAACAATAGCTTCTTTTTGTACCCACAGAGGTATGGGTGCACAAAGACTACAACTAAAAAAGTATAAATTATTTCTGAAGCATCAAAAATACTTTATAGAAACCAAGGTAAAAAAAAAACCTAAGAATCCAATCTGTCTATTAGAGATGAACATAAGTCATATGCACTAATACAGGTGTATTTGTCTCATTTGTCGCTTGGTGTCCCTGTGGTGGACTGGAGACTTGTCCAGGGTGTCCCCCTCTCGCTCAGTGACTGTTGGATATAGGCACCAGTGACCCCCACGACTCAAAAAGGAAGAAACAGGTAAAGATAATGGATGGATTTCTTACTTTCTGCCAAATTCCTAAATGTGAATATGCAGCTGACTGGTTCTCATCTTTATCTTAAAACAGTAATATCAGGTTATTGCAAATAGTGTTTTCAGGGCATGATAAATCTTTAAAAGTAACTTGTCCAGCACTTACTCCATCCCTGCTGCTAAAGGCATGCAGCGACGGGATGAGGAGGACATGCTGCGGAGACTCACCTGTAAAACTTCTTGAGCACTGACACAGAGCACTGAGCAGAAACCTCTGCAGCTGAGCGCACAGAGTCAGGAAACATCTCTGTCAAGCCCCACAGCCTCTCCACCAGGGTCTCATCCAGCTGAAGAAACAAAGTAACAACGTGTTTATTAAAATATCAAAACGTAACATCAAACTGAAATAAACAAAGTTAACTTTCTGAAGTGTTTAAAACAGGTAGAGCCATATATTTAGGAAGCCTGCTCCAAGTTTTTAAACCAATAATTTCTAGCATTGGATTTCTTTACCTCCACACACTTAATCGATACCTCCATTAAATCCTTTATAGCTTCTTCTTCTTTTTTTTTTTTAAATAAGGCATTATAATAAACTAATTCTAAACCAGTCTGCATTAATGTTATTGTTAAAAAGGCTGCGTGTAAAACAGGAATAACGACTCGAAGATGTGAAGGACGGAAGCTAACTGGTTAGCCTCGGTACGGTCAAGTTAAACCGATAATTAAAATAAAAACTGTAAAGCACAAAACAGCTAAAGAACAAGAAATGACTTGACACTGACGTCTTCATCTTCGTCGCCGTCTATCTCGTTTTCTGGAGGCCGGGTGGACACCGGGCCTGAAGCGGGGGACAGCTCTTCGACTGCGGCCATGTCTGCTGCTCTAAACTCGCTCCTGCTCGTCCTGTTAGCTTAGCTCAATGTGCGGCTAACACGTCGCTGGAAAACACGGGGAAACTGGCGCCCAGTAGAGCTTATTTAGCATCAATTCTTACAGTTTTTCATTGAAACTAGCACCAAGGAACACGCACCGGTCCGATGAGAGATTGAGGTCACAGCAGGAAAACGTGAGTCCCGTCAGGAAGGCAGGGCAGGGGTCAGTTTGTAGGATGTGTGAAAATCAAGTGCGCCCCCTGTCGGCTGGGGAGACTCACAGCTTGTTTCAGTCCAGCGCCTTCTTGGCAGACATTTAAAATAATATAACTATTTTCCGACCTAAAATATATATATATATACTGCGTGTCACTATATATATTACCTTATATTATAAGTTTAGTGTACCCTGGCTTTAAATAAGTTTTTGTTCAAGAATAAACCTCATTGTTGTTGCATTTAAACTTTCTTAAATTTATTTGTATTTTATAGTTCAGTGTGGTGTCCTTGTCAAATCCACTTAAGCTTGTTTCTTTACAGAATTTGTGTCAAACTCAAAGCTTGCCGGCCAAAATTGGCCCTTGATTATATTTTACCTACACCCAAGATAATATTGTATCATATCTGGCTTATCAGTCAGGCTCTATAGATTTTCATTTTATTTAAAAATTAGTATATTTAGTGATTTCTCATGACTGATGAATGTGAACTTTTCTGTAATCTTTGGTTTTGACAACAAAGTCAAAGAAAGTGAAGAAAGTCTAATGAGAACATTCAAAGTTTTGCTGACGAACTTGCAGCCAAGAAAAGACGTCAGGTATCTGACTTGAGCTAATGTGTGTTAATGAGCAGAAGAGATTCTGATATTTTAAAAAATATATATACTTTATTTTTATTGTAAAGTCAAATGTTATATACAGTATATGTATATATATATATGTATATATATATATATATATATATGCATGTATAT